CATATATACAATCCTACATTTTTATGCCACTACTATTTAAGCTAACATTACATTAACATTACATTAACATTATATTAATATAATACATAATACAATGTTACTATATATAATATTAATATACATTAAAGTCAAATGCATCAGATGAACTATTGCCTCAGAACCCTATTGACCAGGGGTGTGAAACAGCTCAGTACTCACTACTCAATACACATGAGTACTTTTAAATAGGCTACTCTTTTACTCTTACTCAAGTAGTTTTTTTGGACAAGTACTTTTACTCTACTCACACTACATTTTTTGGTACTTTTACTTGAGTATATTTTTTCAGTACTCTTTCCACCACTGCTATTGACACAATGATCTTGAACCACCTAGTGTCTTTTGTGAACTTCACATGATCGCTTGATAAACGGTAAAAGTGAAAGCAGTCACTGGAAGCGTAATGTAAAGAGGCTGGGAGGAAGAAGATGATGAAGACTGGTATGCTCTGACGTCTGGAGTTTAATTTAGTGTTCACGTCTCGTGCGTCACGACTTTACGAACAGGTGTAAGAGAAACGTCTGTGCACCTGCACACAAGCACAAACTGCTGCCTGTTTCTGCCAGTTAGTGCTGTTTTCTGGCTTGATTTTTCTGCTTATTGCCCATATGAGCAGGGGCTGCTGGGATACTGGAGCAGGCTTTGGCATGCCAACGCCTGAGGGAGGAGGATGCCGTCTGTGCGTGCCACTGACTCGTTTAAAACGCTCTCCCCCCGTTTGTCTGGGGCACTGGGTCCATTTGCAAACAGAAACAGAGAAAGAGAGAAAAACATACAGTTCCATTTCAATTTCCTCAGACCATGCTCTCTCGCTCTTTCTCTCAGAGGGGTGTTGACTTTCTCTCTCTCCCGTTTGGGGGGCCAGAATCTGATTTGCACAAAGGAGAATTCAAGATTTCAGCTGCCACTGATTTAACTGAAATGGCCACAAATTCCTGCCAGTCTCTACAGTTTTACTCGTGCTCACACAGACACACACACACACCATACGAGATTAATTACTAAAAGCGGAAATCTGACAAATGAGTTCAGAAACAGCTGCAAACCAGATATAACACCCAAACTGTAGACGTTGTTTACCATCATTACCCTTGCAGACACACATTCACTCAGACTCAGCATCTCCCTCTAGTGCCTGACAGGATACTAACAACAAGAACGTTTCCAGAACATGGGTCTTCAACCTTTTCAGAGCCCCTGGTGGATAGAAACATATTGTTATTGTTATTATTAAAAAAGAGAGTTTAATTTTAAACCTGGCTGATAATAACTTAATGTTGTATACATCATAAAAAACACATTATTGAGACCTTTTTTCGAAGACCAGTCCTCTAGAGAGTTACTAGTTTGCTGTGTTTCTCAGCCTAACCACTTCACACATGATCTACATTAGTTTCAGTGGAAAAACTCTTTAAAAACTAAGAAAAAAAGAGCAGGAAACCATGTGGTATAACCCATAATTGTGTGAATGTAAATGTTTCTGACAACATATTTAAGGGACTAAATTCCCTTTTATTAACCAAAGGATTTATATAGAGGTAGATTTTTTCTTACACTCAGTATTTTGTTCATTATGTTTACATTTACATTGACCTTCTTACAGTATGTGTTGTATTAACATCAATATTACCATTAAAGGGTTAGTTCTACTCACCCCCGAGGCATCCTAGGTGTATATGACTTTCTTTTTTCAGACGAATCCAGTCGGAGTTATATTAAAAATTGTCCTGACTATTCCAAGCTCTATCATTGCAGTCAGCGGGTGTTGCAGTGCTTCAGTACAAAAGAAGTGAAATAAAAAGCGCCCATCCATAAAAAAAGTGTCTCACACGGCTCTGGGGGGGATGAACAAAGGCCTCCTGTAGCGAATCGATGCGTTTTTGTAAGAAAAAAAACCTCAAGAACGCCGACCTCATACGTCATCCTCCCGGAACTGCTTCCGTTTACAACAGTGAGCGCAAGCTAGATTAAATTGATTATTATTTTTTAAATATGGTTATTTTTCTTACAAAAATGCATCGATTCACTACAGGAGGCCTTTGTTCACCCCCCGGAGCCGTATGAGACACTTTTTTTATGGATTGGCGCTTTTTATTTCACTTCGTTTGGACTGAAGCACTGCAACACCCGCTGACTGCAATGATAGAGCTTGGAATAGCCAGGACAATTTTTAATATAACTGCGACTGGATTCGTATGAAAAAAGAAAGTCATATACACCTTAGATGCCTCGGGGGTGAGTAAAACACAACCTAATTTTCATTTTTGGGTGAACTAACCCTTTAATAGCAATGTTAATATTATTAAACTTGCTAATATTATTAAACTCTATTATTGGGAAAATAGCACATTTCTACAGAAAAACATTAATATTAATTTCATTATTAATTAACAAGTATTCATAAAAATAAAAATGTCTGCATAATATTAATATTTAATATTAATATAATACAAAATGGTTTGATGTTTCTTGATGACATATTTTTATCCACAAAGTTTTTGTATTATGTCTCACATTTGCAGTGTCATGCTAAATATACATGTGGATATTAATACAAATTGTTATGGGGAAAATAACAGACATTTCTAAGGAACAATATTAAATATCAATAAATATTATAAATAAATTATTATGAATACAAAATGCTCAATTGGAAAACATCTGCAGAAACAATATTTATATTAATTGTATTTCTAATATTTTTATGCTATTATTACTTTTTACTTTTATTACATTTTAAAAATACATATAAATAAATTAATATTAATTAAAAATGCGTAATAGGACAAGTTCTGCAGAAACAATATTATTAATTTTAATGCAAATAATAAAAAAAAATGTAAGGGACATTTGGCCATGATGACTACTGAGGGGAAAAACCTCCTTCTATGGCAGTTATGGCCCTGAGGTGGGAAAATCGCTACTTTAAAGTTCAGCAGTAATGTTTCCAAATGAAAATAAATGGAATAAAGTAATATTCTCCTGCTAATGGCCCTTGTCAAACGCTGTTATCCTTCCCCATTGTGTTTTCGCCCATCACAGCGATCAGTTCAGTTCGCCGTGTTCCACTAGCCCACAGTCATGCGTGTAACCCTGCTCACTACAGAGGTTTGCCTCATTTGACTGCTGTAGAAACTGATTTTGTTTGTTAACAGAAGAGCAAGCAGTAGCTAGTCGGCAGGAATTGTGCGTGTTTGTGTGTGGGATCAGGGTTCTGGTGAGGATGCAAATCTCGGCCCTCACCTGTAAAATGGCAATGCAAAAACAGATGGATTACACCTGGACCAGGCAAATCATGTGGCCAGGAGAAAGAAAGACATGGAGACATAAAGACCTAAATATATACTTGATACTCTATATAATCTAATCAAATCATGTATATTTGCTTTAGAATGTAGGATATCGAAAAGACCACATATCCAACAATCATGCAATGACGTGGATCCCAGACTTCTGAGTTTCTACTATGTGGTTTTATGCTCAACTGGTGACACAAACCCACAGGAACCAACCAAACAATCATTACATGTAACTCAACTATGCCATACACAGAGGCCTCAAACTATTATTTTTAACCAGCTGGTGTTGCACAATAAGTATGAACATGTTCCACTAACGTTTGACAACCATAATTTGTCCGAAACATCTACAGTTTAAATAGTATATCTATTGTTTTTTTTTTAACCCAGCAACATGCATTTTGTGAAATACTTTGCTTGTAAATAATTAAAAAATTTATATCTATTATATGTTCATATATAAACTGAGCTTCAAGACACTGATTTCAATAAAACTGCTTTAAACCAATTTGCACTGTACTTACTTGACTTAAAAAATATAGCCTATATATTTATAAAGAATGATAGCACAAACACACTTTGAAAGCAAGATATTTCACAAAAAAGAATGCTAATGGGTTAAGAAACCATAGACTATTCAAAATGTTGTT